GGCTGGTCTCAAACTCCTGACTTCAAGTGATCCACCCGCCCCAGCCTCCCAGAGTGCTGGGATTACAAGTGTAAGCCACTGGGCCTGCCCTTCTTTTGTTTCACTCCACGAGGAAATCTTTCTGCCACGGGAGGTGGTTACCTTACCATTGTTTATCTTCAGGGTCTCCTGAGAACACATACCAGAACTACTGAGGTAATCTTCACACATTTTCTTCACCATTGGATGTGACTTTCAAATTCCTTATATATAGCTGGGAAAAATGGCTTTACTAGATGATCTGAACATTTCTGAGGATAAAGATTTAAAAAAAAAAAAGTTTAAACCCAAGGTACTGATATGGAAAATACAGAAGAAAACCTAAACAAAGTTGCGGTTCTCAGCCCCTCAGCAGTCTCTCAGTGATGGGCGTTTCCTTCACTTCCAGTGAGCACCTACTGTGTGCCCTGCATGGTGCAGGGAAGCCAGACTGGGCATGGGAGGAGCAGGCCAAGAAACAAGCCTTGGGTCAGGGCCATGGAGGGCATCGGTGAGCTCTTAGGACGGGGCGGGAAGGGGAGGCAGAAAGGCCTAAGCACGTGCTGGGCTGTCAGTTCCGAAGTGGCGCACTGACCCTGCATCCATGGGAGTGTGGGGCATAGACAGCCTGGGCTGCAGCCTCAGAGTGGGCTCATGAGGGAGCAGAGGCAGGGGTGGAAGAGGCCAGCTGGGGCGAGTGGGCATCAGGAGTGTCCAGGCTGGCCATTATTTGTGGCTACCACTTCCACTTCCAAAAAAGTATGATCATTTCAGTGAAAGAAGTAAAATTATCTCTATTTGCAGATATGATCTTCTAAGTAGAAGTGCCTGAAGATCACACACACACACACACACACACACACACACACCTATTAGAATAAATGAGGCCAGGCATGGTGGCTCATGCCTATAATCCCAGCATTTTAGGAGGCAGATGTGGGCGGATCACTTGAGGCCAGGAGTTCGAGACTAGCCTGGCCAACATGGTGAAACCCCATCTGTACAAAAATATACAAAAATTAGGCAGGCATGGTGGTGGGCATCTGTGGTCCCAGGTGCTTGGGAGGCTGAGGCACAAGAATCACTTGAACACTGGAGGCAGAGGTTGCAGTGAGCCAAGATCATGCCACTGCACTTCCAGCCTGGGTGACAGAGCAAGAAAGTGACAGACTTTTTTTAAAAAAAGAATAAATGAAATCAGTATGTAGTAGCATACAAAGTAAATACACAGGCCAGGTGCAGTGGCTCACACCTGTAATCCCAGCATTTTGGGAGGCTGAGGTGAATGGATCACTTGAGGTCAGGAGTTCAAAACCAGCCTGGCCAACATGGTGAAACCCCATCTCTACTAAAAATTCAAAAAAATTACTGGTGGTGCGTGCCTGTAGTCCCACCTACTTGGGAGGCTGAGGCAGAAGAATCATTTGAACTCAGGAGGCAGAGGTTGCAGTGAACTGAGATTGTGACACTGTATTCCAGCCTGGGCAACAGAGTGAGACTCCAAAAAGTCAAGACACAAAAATCAGCTGCATTAAACAGTAACAGTGAACTGTCTGAAAAGGAAATAAAAATACCACTTAAAATCTAGCAATTTCACTTCTAGCTATCTACCCCCAAAAATGGAAAGCAGGATCTCAAGGAGGCAAATGAACACCTGTGTTCATAGCAGTACTGCTCATAATGGCCAAAAGGTGGGAGCAACCCTGTCCGTTGACAGATGAATGAATAAGCACAATGTGGTGTGTACACACGGTGAGAGTTTCCTCAGCCCTGCAGAGGAACAGCCCTCTCATACCTGGCACAACATGAACCTTGAGGATACTGTGCTAAGTGAAATAAGCCAGTCACAGAAGTACAAAGATTCTGTGATTCCGATTCTGTGAGGAAATTGGTGTAGTCAAAATCATAGAGACAAAGCAGAATAGTGGCTGCCAGGGTTGGGGAAAAGGGAATGGAGAGTTGGTGTGTATGGGGGCAGTTTTAGGCTTTTTGGTTTTTTTTTTTCCCACTTACCCCAACTTGAAGCTAAGAGTTTTAGTTTTAGAAGATGAGAAGAGTTCTGGAGCTGTGTGTGGGTGGTGGCTGTACAACACTGTGAATGCACCAAATACCCCTGAACCACACTTTAAGATGGTAAATGTTATGCTATGTATATTTTACAATAAAATATTTTGGAAAAAATTTTGATGTGCTAATACAAACTTATAGCGACTCAAACCTGCTTTGTCAGGAGTTTCAGAAGGGGCAAGAGGGAGAGGACACGCTAAGTAGCCAGGGGTTGACACTCCAGTAGCACCCCCAGGGACTGCCTCTCTCAGCATCACCCTCTGAAGTGGCAGCGTCAGCCAAGAGTGCGTTGCCATTGGTTTTACAGACCAAACGCAGAGAAACGGTTGCATTCCCATCAAACGTGCTCACTAAACCATGCCGCACATGCCTCTCCCAGCCTGTTCCGCAGCAGTGCAGACAACGTGGGGTGTCAGATCCCCAACTAGAGCGATTCTGGTCCCGCTTGAGCCTTTGTCTGAGTCCCCATCAGACACTGTGAAGGTCAATTTAAGGACGATGGGCAGGCAGGTGCAGGAATAAGGACTGATGTGGTTTGAATCTGTCCCCACCCAATCTCACGGTGAAGTGTAATCCCCAGTGTTAGAGGTGGGACCTGGCGGGAGGTGACTGATCCTGGGCAGAACCCTCACGGTTGGTGTGGCACCATCTCCTTGGTGCTGTTCTCATGATAGTGAGTTCTCATGACAGCTGGTTGTTTGAAAGTGTGTGGCATTTCCCCCTGCCACTTGTCCCTGCCGTGGCCATATGATGTGCCTGCTCCCACTCTGCCTTCACCGTGACTGTTCCCGAGGTGTCCCCAGAAGCCATTCCCACACCATGCTTCCTGTACAGCCTGTGGAACCATGCGCCCACTAAACCTCTTTTCTTTATGAAATACCCGCTCTCAGGTATTTCTTTATAGCAACATGAGAAAGTCTGAATACAATGACACACACCCAGATGCAAACATTACCTGCAGGCCACCGTGAGCTGGCTCCGTCACCAAGCAGGAGTGGGCCCCTCACATGGAGCTGCTGGCGTGGACAGCTCTGGGAAGGTCAGGCTGAGCGTCTCTTCCATGCCTCCCGGAGGGTGCATCCATTGGCTTTCTCAGCACCATCTTGGGGTCCAGGTGGCCATGGCCTGGGTTAAGTGTCAAATGCCGGGCCAGCCCCCCTCTCTATAGATGACTTCACAAGTCTCACACTTAAAGCTTTTGGGCCTCAGGGAGCAGCTCGGTAAGTGAAGGAGCACCTGCCGCTCCCTCTGATCTTCATCTTCCACGCTGGGTTCTGAGTAGTCATGAGAATCTGACATGACTGCCTGCCAAATCGTTCTTATGAACTTATCTTGAGCTTTATTCTTGTGGGGTCGAGATATCCGTCTCAACGTGTCTTTACTTTTAACAGTTGTTTTCGGTTCTCACTATGTTTCGTATGCACGCTAGAAATGAACGTGCTGAACTGGATGAAACAGATGTTATAGCCAGGAGATTGGAGGCCGACAGTGAGTCAACATGGAGCCTTGTCCAGTTGGAGCCTTGGGAACTGGGACTCTCTTCGCAGGGGCCGCCTGGAGGGCTGGCAGTGGTCTCAGGACAAACAGCCGAGCAGGCGGTAACGTAGGTCACCTAGGGAGCATGGCTGTGGCTCGGTTCTCACAAGGGACTCTACCCTGAGCCCCACCAGGCGGGAATTACCCTGGGGCGGCAGGGTCTGTCTTGTGGATTGGGGCTGGACTGTGGCCAGTGGGGCGATGGCCTTCCTGACCTTCTGTTTCTCCAGACATTACTTTGACACGAATGGCTTCTAGACAAGGAAGGGAAAAGCAACATTGTGCTTACCAACATGTCTGCAATTTTGCTCTCGTAGTAAATCCATTGACATTTTTTCTACATTAAGTTTTACATATAAAAGTTTATGTAATGTGTTTGTATTAAGCTGGTGTTTTTCAGACCTTTCTGACCAGAAACCACAGTGATATAGGCCGTGCTTGGTGGCTCATGCCTATGATCCCAGCACTTCGGGAGGCCAAGGTGAGCAGATCACTTGAGGTCAGGAGTTCAAGACCAGCCGGGCCAACATGATGAAACCCCTGCTCTACTAAAGATACAAAAATTAGCCAAGCATGGTGGTGCATGCCTATAATCCCAGCTACTTTGGAGGCTGAGGCATGAGAATCACTTGAACCCAAGAGGAGGCGGCTGCAGTGAGTCGAGGTCACAGCACTGCACTCCAGCCTGGGTGACAGAGAGAGACTCTATCTCAAAAAACAAACAAAAAGGCTGGGCACAGTGGCTTATGCCTGTAATCCCAGCACTTTGTGAGGCCGAGGAGGGTGGATCACTTGAGCCCGGGAGTTCAAGACCACCCTGGACAACATGGTGAAACCCCATCTCTACTAAAAATACAAAAGTTAGCCGGGTGTGGTGGCACATTCCTGTAGTCCCACCTACTCGGGAGGCTGAGGCAGAAGAATTGTTTGAGCCTGGGAGCAGGAGAGGCTGCAGTGAGCTGAGATCATGCCACTGCACTCCAGCCTGGGTGACAGAACTAGACTCAGTCTCAAAAACAAAACCAGACCACAGTGACACATTTTACATTATGACCTAGTGTGCATGTATATAAATGTCTGCATACATAAATGAAAAGTTGTGGAACTACTGACCATTCCTACGTAAATGCCTGCTGATTGGACCTATTCTACATCACTTTTTTTTTTTTTTTGGAGATAGGGTCTCATTCTGTTCCCCAGGCTAGAGTGCAGTGGCATGATTTCAGCTCACTGCAACCTCCACCTCCCAAGTTCAAGTGATTCTCCAGCCTCGGCCTCCTGAGTAGCTGGGATTACAGTTGCCCACAACCACGCTAATTTTTATATTTTTAATATAGACAGCGTTTTGCCATGTTGGCCAGGCTGGTCTCAAACTCCTGACCTCAAGTGATCCACCTGCCTCGGCCTCCCAAAGTGCTGGGATTACAGGCATGAGCCACCGCACCTGGCCCTATTCTACATTACTTTAAAAAAAATGCTAGTCATGATCCACTAAGTTGATTTCATGACATGTGTTTTTGCTTGGAGTTTTTAGTACGCTAAAATCAGATATAATTCATAATGTGGGTCCATGTTTTTAGAAGTTTGTAATGAAATTCTGGAAGCCACAAAAAAGCCATAAAGAACAATGTTACCCAGGTTCCTCCTGCCCAGGCTGCATGCCTGTGTCCTCCCCTGTCCTGAGTGTGGTCAGCATTCTTCTGCTTTTTAAATATGTGAATGGCATATTCAGATATTTCTAAAAATATACAGTTCAGTTCTGAAATGTTTTAATACTTTATATAAATATCTCCTACAACGTGATAGGGCTTCTTCAGGTTTCTTCATTTTGCTTTGCAAATTTTCTCCACATTGACGTGGAGTTCTTGGGTTTCTCTGCAGAATGAGTACACCAGTCTCCCGTTGATAGACAGGTAGTTTCCAACCTTCTGCTCCTAAGGTCTGCTCTGAACCTCCACAAATGTATGAGTGTATGTGTATGAGCTTCTCCAGGGGTATGTACCTAGGAGTAGGGCTGAATATCTTTTTTTTTTTTTTTTTTTTTTTTTTGAGAGATAGGGTCTTGCTCTGTTGTCCAGCCTGGAGTGCAGTGGCACGATCTCAGCTCACTGCAACCTCCCACTCCCAGGTTCAAGTGATTCTCCTGCCTTAGCCTCCCAGGGAGCTGGGATTACAGGCATGTGCTACCATGCCTGGTTAATTTTTGGATTTTTAGTAGAGATGGGGTTTCACTATGTTGTCCCAGCTGGTCTTGAACTCCTGACCTCAACTGATCTGCCCACCTCAGCCTCCTGAAGTGCTGGAATTACAGGCATGAGCCACCGCGCCTGGCCGGGCTGAATATCTTCAATAACTTTTTGCAAACACATCTAACAAAATTTCGATACATGTGCTTTTTGACCCAGTAATTCCACTTCCTGAATTCCAAAATTAAAAAAGCTCAGATGGCCACAAAGATGTTCTGTTGTACAAGGTTCAAGGCAGCACTGTCTATAGCAAAACACCCACCAAAGGGGACAGCTACCTTCAGCTACATCCCACAGATATGTACTGAGCATTGACTGCGTGCATGAGACACTGTTACAGGTGTCAGGGAAACAGCTGTCACACAGCTTGGCAGGGAGGGTCCGGGAAGCAAAAGAAACAAGGCTCCCACCCTCACAGAGTGGAAACAATGAGCATTTTCCTCCAGGGAGAAAAGAGGGAAACCTCATCATCCAGAGCACCATTTCCTAACCAACATTACAGACATAAATAACCCTTTGACATGGGTGGCTGGAGGATGCTCAGCAGCGTCTCTGCCTCTGGCCACTAGGTGCCAGTAGTGATCCCAAGTCCTGACAATGAAGACACTGCCAATGCCCTTTGTGGGGCAAAACTGCCCTCAGTTGAGAACCACTTATTTGGGACCACCAACTTGCCCTCTTTGGACTCAGCTTTCTGGTGTGACCCTCAAATACTGGAATGTCAATAAAAATGTCACACAGGACAGATCTCAGCCTCACTGAGATCAGGCTGGAGTGTGTGTCTCATCTGTCTCTTGTTATATATTAGTACAAATAACAGATCAAGTGTATACAGCTGGCACCACAGCCCTGGGAATCCCCAACTCCTGGGCTACTTGTGAATCAAATGACAATTAGATTGACTGCTGTGCGTATCCTTCAAGAACGATATCTGTTTCATTTTACTATCAGTCACATAGAATATCTTCCTATGGGCCAGAGACAGATCACACCTGCAATCCCAGTGCTTTGGGATGCTGAGGCAGGAGGATTGCTTGAGGCTAGGAGTTCAGGGCCAGCCTGGGCAACATAGCAAGACCCTGTTTGTACAAAACATTAAACAAAACAGAACGAAACAAAAAACAAATTTGGTCTCACTCTGTTGGCCTGGGCTGGAGTGCAGTGGCACAATCTCAGCTCACCCATGTCCTGGGTTCAAGTAATTTTCCTGCCTTGGCCTCCCTAGTAGCTGGGATCACAGGTGTGCACCACCACGCCTCGCTAATTCTTGTATTTTTAGTAGAGACAGGCTTTCACCATGTTGGCCAAGCTGGTCTTGAACTCCTAACCTCCGATGATCCACCTGCCTCAGCCTCCCAATGTGCTAGGATTACAGGCGTGAGCCACCGTGCCCAGCCTACAAAGCATTTTAAAATTAGCCAGGCTTAATGGTGCATTCCTGTAGCTCCATCTACACTGGAGGCTGGCGCAGGAGGATCATCTGAGCCTCGGCATTTGAGGCTGCAGTGAGCCGTGATCAGTCCACCCCGGGTGAGAAAGTAAGACCTTGTCTCAACAAAACCCCAAAACAAAAATGAAATACATATACACACAGACACACCCTGTGGGTAATATCCCTTCTGGGCACCGAGGAAGGAGACCTAGGCAGACACCAAGCACAATTAGTGCCTAAAGAATAATTTACTGCTCACTTATTTCTTTCTATATAATCCTTTTATATATAATCATATCTTAGTTTGTAGTCGGAGGAATGTCTAGAGCAGACATGGTACAGAGCATGAATTATGAGGAAAACAGTTTTACCAGGACAAGAACATGGCCCAGGCGGCAGTGTTCAGTATCGTGAAGATACCCGCTGTATGGCAGGCTTGGGGCGAGAGCCTCTCCTGAAAAGGAGATGCAGGACCTTGCGTCCAGTTCCTGTGGAAGGCTGGCCTCAGATGGGCAAGCCTGTGAGCGTCTGAGGGCTTCAAACCCCTCCGGTATAATCGCGCCTTGGTGTCTGTATAGCCTGTCAAATCTCTAGCTACTGTGCTGATTCAAAGCATCCTCCTATAGCAATCACTGGGAGCTGCCAGCAGGTGGCTGCAGACCCTGTCAGCTCTGTTGCTGCTGTGCTGACTCAAAGCATCCTCCTATAGAATTCCTTACAAGTAGCCTGCCCCTAAATAAGAGATATAGCACACTGTACCCTCTTCACTGCACACGGCCCACCTCCTTGCCTCGGTGACCTAATGGAGGTGGACCCTTTGCTTATTGCACACGTGATTGTCTTGACCCTATCACTGTTCTTAAGATGACCTCACTGACCACCCTGCACCCTAACCTATACCCAATAAACAGACGTTCCTGGACATTCGGGGCCTCTTGCCTGTCTTCGCTTGCAAATGATGTGGACCCCCGAGCCCAGCTGAGCTTTCTTTGTCCTTCTGTGTTTTCTCTCTTTATTTCTTGGATCCAGCGCCTCAGCACAGCGATAGGGGACACCCCACGAACTTGTAGGGCCTGACCCTACACACCCTAAACCCTATTGTTTTAGGATGACCAGAGCAGCAAAGCCATCCTAATAATGTATTTATCCTGTATCCTGACTGGCTTACCCTGTGGGTATCATGCTTCACACTTTGTGGTATGTTTATTTCATTCAGGGAATGTTTACTAAATATTTCTGGATGGAATACATACACACTAGCCAAGTCCTAGCCTCACCCTTGAGATGGTGGGCAGTTTCCCTGCCATGTCTCAGTCCCCACAGACCTGCTGAATTGGATCTCCTGGATTGGAGCCCTGATGTGCCCTTTCAAAAGCTCCACTGATGATTCTGAAGGCAGACAAAGTTCTCTAAGGGATGCAGACAGGTGAGGCAGACAGAAAAATGTCATCATGGTACAACAGGTGCAATAAAGAGGCAGGCTCGGCCCAGACGTGGTGGGCTGCCCAGAAGCAGTGATCTCTGGGGCGTTTTGAAGACTGGGAATCTTTGCCAGGCAAAAAAGGGCATACATCCATGTATAAATGCATGGATGCATGGAAAGGGGCACGGCATGGTGGGTGGAACTAGACAGTTCTGTGGGGTGGGAAGAGGGAAGATGGAGAGAGACAGGAGCCTCGATCTGACCCAGTGTGTCCACGTGCTCTCTGCTTCTGATCCACACCATCCCCTACAGTGAACCACTGGGCCTTCTGCTGTGGGTGTTGAAATGCACCCAACCACCCGTCCCAGAACCAGCCTCTATTCTTCTGCATTTTCAACCCAGCCTCAGCATTTCAAATCTTGTTCAGATACCACCTCGTCAACAAAGCTGCTCCTGATCTCAGCCAGAAACAATGTCCCTTTCGCTAAAGACATTGAGTTCTTCATCAGTATCTTTAGCTTTCGGGCATTGATTAGAAGGTATCTAGGTCATGCTTTATCTGTTAGTTCATAAACTACTTAGTACACATCCAGTTTGCCTTCATGGCCTCCATCACACAGCTGGGGCTGAAAAAGTATGAGCAGAATGTGTTGCGAAGGTACATGAGTGCCTTTGCAATAACGTACTTTACTTAAACAAAGGTACTAACTTTGTTTTTACTTTCATAAAGGTCATTTTTGGACTCCATTCCAAACCCAAAAGCTTCAGCCACATTCAGCAAGGTGTGGGGGGAGAACAGGGGCTGGGGAGAGCCACTCTACCTCCCTGAGCTTGTTTCCCACCTGTGAAATGCTGGAACAAAAAGAACTGCAAGCTAAGCAGCCCAGCACGGTGCCCGGCACAGAACAGAGGCTCTCCAGATGGCCGCCCCTGGATGGCATCTTGCAGCCATCTCACCCAGACCAACGTCTAAAAAGGTCGAGTTACCCAAGGTCACACTTCTAGATAGTGTGGCATTTGGGCAGAATCATACTCGTCTTCCTAAACCTTAGCAAGACAACTTTCCACTCTTGATCAACTGGATACAACCCCAGGCAGCTAAAATCGTAAGTAAAAAAACAAGCTCAGGAGTGAAGACTGCGGATTCTATTCTCTAACCCATTTCTTCCAGTGGAAGAGCAATTTTGGGATGAGACTAACATTATTTACAACCCCAGCGCCGAAATGGGATGGAATTTTCCAGATGCTGTATAGGACCTCTGGCTTCAGGACTTGGGAGACCGTGTTCTAGTTCCAGCTCCCCACGCAGCCAAAAGCTGTGTGGCCCAGGAAACAAACCCACTGAGAAAGGATGTTTGGTAATAGAGTGCTTTCACACATCCCAAACATTCCGCATCAGTCACCGCCACCCAGGGTGGTAAGTCCTGCAGTGAACTAGTCTAGTATACTGTGCTTCACTTTGTTCCAAGCCTGGGCCGTGGCACTTGCTGTGCCTTAGACCTGAAAAGCTACGTTGGTTCCTTTGAATTCATTCAGGTCACAGCTGCACTGTCTGGCCTAAGGGACCAGCCACTCTAAAGCAGCCCCCCCGTCACTCCCAGAATCTGCCTGATACTCGTTCATGAAGTGTGTTCAAGGCGGCACATCCTGCACTTAGTGGGAAGTGCCGGGAACCCCGTCTCTGAGTGCTCCACGAAGGCGGAACAAGCGGTCCAAGGCATGTAAGAAGAGCCAGGCAGCACGGAGGAGCGCTGGGCAGGGCTGTGGAGAGAGTCCCAGGCAGAGGGCCCAGCGTGAGCAAAGGCTCAAGTGAGGCTCCTGGGGTGAAAATGCCAGGGCAGTGGCAGCGGGACCGAACGCCATCCCTAAGGAGCTCAACTTCGGGACGCCCTGAGTTGTGACCCGGGCCGGACACTGGCCTCCCCAGCCAAGGAGCTCACCCCGTCGCTGGGCCTCAGTTTCCCCATGTCCCTCTTGGCGCCTCACCTGGGGCAGCAGCAGGTGTGGCGGGCACAGGGGCTCGGCGCCAAGGACCCGCTGGAGGACGACTTGCATGGCTGCGGCCTGCAGCACGAAGGGGGTGGGCGGCGGTGGCCGCTCCTTCATCTCATGCTTCAGGACTCGCCGCACCTGCTCGGTGTCCTGTGGGGCCACGTGTGCGACGCTGCCCCAGCCCCTGGCGCTGACCGGCCATGGCGGCCGAGGCGGAAACTGGAACCCAGGTGACTGTGCGACGAGTGCCCCGCAGGCCAAAACACCTCGGAAGGCGATCTGGCCTGGCAGGGAAGGTCGGGGAGCCAGCCCTGCTGCAGCCGACAGGTGCTACGGCGCCTAAGGCTGATCAGCAGAGCGGACCCACCTTATTTTCTCATTGCCCGCCACAGATGGGTTTAACACTCAGATTTCACCTCCTCCGGGGGCTGACCCGGATCTCCTAGGCGGAGATCTTTGAGGTTCCAAAGTACTTGGCCCAAAAGTTATCCAAGTGTTCTGACGTCATCGTGCAACCCAATCAGTGAAGGATCCTGTCTGGATATGCATTGTCCTAGGCCCACCCACAAACGTTTGGATTAAAGATCTGAGACAGGACCCAAAGTTTGAATTTTTAACAAGAGTGCTTCCCAACCCCCAAATTGTTCCCATGTCACGCTGCTGTATCTCCCCTCACCCACCGAGACTGGGTGCATCTTGAAGGGAGAGATGATATATTACTCATTCGGTGCCCACCACAGGCCCTGCCCAGAACGCATGCTTAAGGCATGAAAGATGGATGCATAGAAGCCAATACATGAATTAGTGAACAAACGAATGAACCCGCCCTCTCCACGTCTGTCCCACCCATCCAACTCCAGTGACCTGTCCTCCTCAGCCTGACCACCTCTCTTTCTTACAGGGTCGAGGCTCTTTGTGCACCCTCCCAACCGAGTCTTGCAGCTGCAGGTGTGTACACATGTTCCAGTTCCTCTCCCCAGGGAGAGCAGGAGGTCCACTGGCCAACACTTATTAAGCACCTGGTGGGTGAGTAGCCGTCCCCACTCTGGGGTATACCGTCTAGGTGAGGAGGAAACTGGCACTTGTAGCACAGTATGATGAGCACCATGAAGCCAGAAAAGGTAGGGATGAGGGCCAGGCTGATGTCAGAGAAGGTTCTGGAAGATCACCACCCTCCTCATCAATACCTTGCATTCACAATGCTCCCTGCTTTTTAAAAAATTGTCCTTTAAGTTCTGGGATACATGTGCAGATATTGCGGGATTGTTACATAGGTACACACATGCCATGGTGGTTTGCTGTCTCCATACCCCCATCACCTACCTCAGGCATTTCTCCCACTGTTAACCCCCCCCAACCTTCCCCCACCCCGCTATCCCTCCCCTTGCCTGCCACCCCCCAACATACCCCAGCCAACTGTGTGATGTTCCCTGCTCCCTGCTATTTTTTAATGGTGAATTTAATGTTATGGATATCTTACTACAATTTTTTGGGGGGACGGGGGTCTCACTCTATTGTCCAGGCTGGAGTGTGGTGGCATGAAATCAGCTCACCACAACCTCAAACTCCTGGGCTTAGGAGGAGTAGCTGGGACTACAGGCATGTACTACCATGCCTAGCTAATTTTTGTATTTTTAGTAGAAACGTTTAAAATCCAAACGTTTGTGGGTGGGCCTAGGACAATGCATATCACTGTGTTGCCCGGTTTGTCTCCAACTCCTGAACTCAGATGATCCACTTGCCTTGACCTCCCAAAGTGGTGGGATTACAAGCATGAGCTACTGCGCCGGGGCCACATCAGTGTTTCCTAGTTGCTTCCCAAGAAGAGATTTATGACAATTGAGTTCTTTTGAGATCTTCTGGGAAGGTCTGCTTGTCAGCAGATAACAGATCTCAGGAATTCAAATGCCTTCTGCTCAAAATAATTCTCATGCCACCGTGGCATGCTCTAAAGTCCTTCAAACTCAGGAAACTTGAGGACAGCAACGTCCAAATCCTCCGTGCTCTGTTCCTGCATATAACAAGGTGCCAGGCATTACTATTACAGGATGTGATATCCAACTTGTGTACAGGTTTCTATTTTAGGTGTCGGCCAAGCCTGGCTCTTGTAATTTTGCTTATAATTGCAGCGTCATCCGCCGGCATGTATTGAGAACTTTTACTACAACCTGGGTGCATACCAAGGGCTTAAGCCAGTGGTGTGTAGATTTGGAGCTGCTACTTACTTAGGTAAGAGCTACTAGACATTTCTACCGGAGAATTTTCAAAAACAGCTAAAGGCCATGCTGGATCCTGCAATAAAATGGGATTGACCCTATATAACTGACGTTTCTTCACCTGAAAACCCTGACCACCAGGAAACATGATCCAGCAGTGAGAAATTCATCCACTTGCTCGGGCTGCTAAATGCAGACGCAAGAGGAAGAAACGAAAAGCCGAAGACGTCTCTGAAAAGAAATGAGGGGGAAAAAAAAAAGCCAGAGGCTTCCACAACCACAACGCCTCTCTAAAAACATGGCGGGTCGTCTACTGGCTGGTCACTGTCTCCACGTGGGTGGCATCTGTGTCCCACTTACCGTTTTGCTCCCCGTCTAGATCGGTGCTGGGCACGCGGGAGCCCTCGCTAGGCACCTGTGCAACGCGTGCATTCCCCAGCTGGATTTTCAACCCTAACAGTACCCCAGAAGGAGGCCCAGGGAACACCAGGCGGTGACGTGACATCTGGGAGCACTTGTCTTCACTGGGTGGTTCCTCCAGGCAAGCCTCAGCTTCAGGAAACGCGCGGGGAGGGTAGGATGGGGGCAGAGGCGGGGGGCTGGGGATGTGCATGTATTCGGATTTCCCGAGGCCCCTAGAAAACCAGAAACGTCAAAGGCCTAAGCAAAGGTGTTGTAAAACAGGCCCCACCGGGGGCGGCGGGGACAGAGACTGAGGTGGGGAGGTGGTGCCCCTGCAGCACACAGGGTTTCTCCCGCTCTCCCCAGTAGGCAGCCTTCCACAAGCTCCCAGCCGAGTCCAAGAGATCTGGCAATCCGCTCCGGCCCGCATGCCGCTTACAATACCGGAAAGGCGCATTTTCACAAAGGCTTCTATCACCAGTTCGTGGGTCGGGGGAGGGGGAAAAAAAGCTCGAACTGTGGTCGGTGCGGGAGTCGAACCCGCGACCTTGGTGTTATCAGCACCACGCTCTTACCAACTGAGCTAACCGACCGCCCGGCGCGGGGCGGGGCCACTGGAGCCTCTAAAAGGGCTTCAAGCGCGCCCCGGCCCACGAGCGAATCCTTACTGAGCCTGCGCCAGCGGCTGCCTCTCTCCCTTCGCACCAGCTACGGGGACTTCGGTGAGGACCCACTGCGCCTGCGCGCACCACGTTCCTCCCGCTCTCCGCAGCGGGCTGCCCTCGACAACCTCTGGGCCAAGTCCAAGGATTCCGCAGTTTGCTCCTGCCCGCAGGCGGCTTCCGGTAGTTGAAAGGCCCGTTGACAGACCAAAAAAAAAAAAAAACACTGGGGCGGCCGGCGTGAAACCGGGAGTCGAGCTCGCATGCCCGGGGAACACACCGTGACAGCCTAGAGTCGAACCTGCGGCCTTGGGGTGTTGAGCACCAAGAGCTCACCAATTGAGCTAACCGGCCGCCCGACGCTCTACGGCCCACAGAGATCACCTAAAAGTGTTACGCGTCTGGGCCAGCCCGCGAGTAATTTTTTTGCGGAGCCCCGCTGCTGGCTGCCTCCTGCTTTGCCCCAGCTGCCACTTTTGCCTTCCTCACTGTCATCCCCTTTGGCCAGACGCAGAAACTGAGACCTAGGGGACTTAAAGGAGAAGGGAGGCGGCTTCCTACTGGGAAAATGCAAACTGCCCATGGGAGGCTTGGCTCTGCAGTGAGGTTTGCAAACATTCCAACTCCATGCCGTTTTGATCCCCAAGCATCCTGTAGCCTGGAAACCTATCAAGAGCCTTTAGCATGGTGAAACCAAGCTTGGAAAATACAGAAAACCAAAGGCCAAGAGAACCACGTGATGTTTAGCGCAAAAAATAACGGCCGCACGGATGCTGACTTCTCTCCTGTCGGTTCCCCCCACCCCCCAGATTGTAAATCTCTATTGAAATATCTCTACATGGAATCTCCGGGCAGGGAGCAGCGGTTCATGCCTGTAATCCCCGCACTTCGGGAAGGACGGATGAATGAATAAATGAATAAATCAATAAATGGAATCCAATGTCTTGCTTCAAAGAGTGTTTTCTTCTCTTTCTTACTGCGTTCAATATTCTTTGATTAAGCATATCCCTGAAAAACTGCAAACGTAATTTGACATCATTCCTCAGTGTTTTGAGTGGAAAAACCATAGCTGGCCCTCCCTTTCTTTTTCCTTGATTTTTAAGTGTTGGAAAACGTTTTCGCTTTGCGCTCACTTGTTAACTGACCACACGAATGAATCACGAGGTACAAGGTAGAAGGGTTGAGACAGCCACTGGGTGGACAATGGCAGTACCCACCCCAAAAGCAGAGTTATCTGTAGGAAAAAATACAGAGAGAGAGAGAGAGAGAGAGAGAGAGAGAGAGAGAGAGAGAGAGACACAGACAATGGTGAGAAGGCAAACCGCCACCGCCACCGCGTCCACCACCCAGCCTGTGTGTCCCAGGGCATGCTGGTCTCCCAGGGGGCCTGACCGACTAAGGTGTGCTGCTGCGGCCCTCCCACTCCAGGAGCACCGGAAGGGAGCACTGTCTTCCTAACACTGTACATTCCGCGCTGATGACTCCGCTGAAGTGCTTGGACTGATGTGTCATCAGGGTTCCCTGTCACAAGCAGCAGAAAAGGCATCTAGCTGATTTCAACAGATCTCATATAAAGGATGTGAGGTCGGTCAACCTGCCACGAGCAAGGCTACAGGACGCTCCAGTCAAGCAACGTGGACACTCAGTCAAGACATAACTCATGCAGCCTGGCATTGCCGGGGCCCCAGTCAGCTGTGAGTCAGAGAAACCCGATCCCTAAACTCACGGAGCCTACGGCGCGGCAAAGCAGGCAGGCATTACAGTGAAGGGAGAAGCCTAGGTGTTGTGCCGGGACGCTGGGCAGGTTTCCTGAAGTCTGGGGCACTGTACTGCGTCCAAAGGGCAAGGATGGATGAGCAGGCCAAAGGGGTAAAGCCCTCTCACGGAAGACCGGTGGGGTGCAGGCATCCCGTCCATTTCGCTTACAGCTGAAGGAGGGTCCGGAGCCCGGCACTCTCTGGCATAGCACGCCTCCCATAGCTAAGAGTCACGTGTTTACACCAGCCAGATCAAGTCACTCCTCTGCTCACACTCTCCCCTTTTGGCCCAGGCCTAACAGGTCTGCCAAATTTCGCAAATAGGCTTGCGAAGCCTCATTGACATTTAATTGCAGAAAAGCAATGAAGTTTTTTTAGTGTGTGTCCCATGCCATGTTTGGGACACACTTAGGATCAAAGGGTACCTGTGCTGTATGTATCTGACCTCTTCCGGTGGGCGCAGTCCCGATGTCCAAGGAGTCCGACCTGTGGTGGGTGGGCTGCTTACTGGGACTGGAACCCCGAAGGGCTGGCAAGAACACCTGTGACTCACCGGGTCTGGGGCCCAGAGACTGCCTCTGCCGCTCTCCTTTCAAGCTGTCGTTGGCAGAAGGCCACAGAAGTCCACAAGGAGCACATTTTTCCGTGAAAAGTGTCCTCCACGGTGCCTTCCTCTGAAAAAGGTGCGTCTTGGACGTTGCAGTGCAGGGAAGACTCCAGCAACTAATGAGCGGCAGAAGAGAAACAAGGAGAGACAGACATTTTGCTGAGACAGATGCGGGGGACGAGGGGCAAAGTGTCTAGGTCTGCTCTGCCCCTCACATAAGGTATTTCAGGAAAAGTTGGCTTTGGGGCCAAGCGTGGTGGCTCACACCTGCAATCCCAGCACTCTGGGAGGCCGGGAAAGAGACAAAAGGAAAGAGACGTTTTGCTCAAACAGATGGGGAAGACACAGGGTAAAGTGTGTAAGTCAGTTTTGCCTGTCACATTAGCTGTTTTCAGAGAAGTCAGCTTTGGGGCCAAGCACAGCTGCTCACACCTGTAATGCCAACACTTTGGGAGGTCACTGTAGTAGGACTGCATGGGGCCGGGAGTTTGGGACCCGTCTGGGAAATGCAGCAGGACCCCATGCGTCTTTATAAAAATAATGGAAATGACAAAAAAAAATCTAAAAACGATGCGCATTCAAAATCAAAAGGTGTAACTATGAATGTTAGGGATTTAAAGCCATACTTCACAGAGGATAATGATCCAAGCAGTATGTTTTTATCTGGAGACCCTTTGGAAGATTCCAACGGGCACAGTTTTTGATATGGTTAGTCCAGGACACCTTTCCAGTGTTACCAAGAGAAGAAGGGAGAGAGACGAGAGAGTTGGGAAGGACAGAGGGCGGGGGGAGGAATGGGAAGTCTTCAAAAGATAAAGAGAGAAGGAAGGCGGGCGGGGGGAGAGCAAAGAGAAAGAGGGAGAGAACGAGAAATAAGAGCTAGGGAGAGGGATCCAGAGAGACATAGGAAGAGGGAGAGACATATAGATAGGAAGAAATAGATAGGGGAAGGCTGAGTACGGTGGTTGATTCTTATAATCCCAGCACTTCCGGAGGCAGAGGTTGGCCAATCACCTGATGTCAGGAGTTTGAGACCATCCTGGCCAACATGGCGAAACTCTACTAAAAAGTACAAAAATTACCTGGGCAGCTGGCTGTATTCCCAGCTACTCGGGAGGCTGAGTCAGGAGAATCACTTGAACCTGGGAGGCAGGGGTTGCAGTGAGCCAAGATCGTACCACTGCATCCCAGCCTGGGTGACAGGGTCAAACTCCATCTCTAAAAAAAAAAAAAAGAGACAGGGGAAAGAGAGAAATAGAAAGTGATACGGTTTGGCTATGTCCCCAGTGAAATCTCAACTTGAATTGTATCTCCCAGAATTCCCAGGTGTTGCAGGAAGGACCTGGTTAGGGTAGGGGGTGGTAATTGAATCATGGTGGCCGGTCGTTCCCATACTGTCTGGTGACAGGGAATAAGTCTTATGAGATCTGATGGGGTTTCCGCTTTTGCTTCTTCCTCATTGTCTCTTGGTGCTACCATGTAAGAAGAGCCTTTTGCCCTCTGCCATGATTATGAGACTTCCCCAGCCATGTGAAACTGTAAGTCAAATTCAACCTCCTTTCTTTCTAGTCTCAGGTATATCTGTTTCAGCAGAATAAAAAATGAATACAGTAAATTGGTACCAGAAGTGGGTCATTGCTGAAAAGAGACCCAAAAACATGGCAGCGGCTTTGGAAATGGGTAACAGGCAGAGGTTGGAACAGTTTGGAGGGCTAAGAATAAGGCAGGAAAATGTGGGTTTGCATCTTCCTAGACTTGTTGAATGGCTTTGGCCAAAATGCTGATAGCGATATGGACAATAAGGTCCAGGCTGAGGTGGTCTCAGGTGGAGATGAGGAACTTGTTGAGAACTGGAGCAAAGGTGACTCTTGTTATGTTTTAACAAAGAGACTGGTGGCATTTTGCCCCTGCCCTAGAGATTTGTGGAACTTTGAACTTGAGAGAGATGGTTTAGAGTATCTGGTGGAAGAAATTTCTAAGCAGCAAAGCATTCAAGAGGTGACTTGGGTGCTGCTAAAGACATTCCATTTTAAAAGGGAACAGAGCATGAAAGTTCAGAAAATTTGCAGCCTAATGATGCAGTAGAAAAGAAAAACCCATTTTCTGGGGAGAAAGTCAAGCCAGCTGCAGAAATTTGCATAAGTAGCAAGGCGCCTAATGTTAATCCCCAAGATCACGGGGAAAATGTCTCCAGGCCATGTCAGAGTCCTTCATGGCAGCCCCTGCCATCACAGGCCAGAGGCCCAGGAGGAAAAAGGCGTTTTGTGGGCTGGGCTCAAGGTCCCTGTGCTGTGTGCAGCCTACGGACTTGGTGCCTTGTGTCCCAGCTCCTCTAGCTGTGACTGAAAGGGACCAAGAGCTTGGGCTGTGGCTTCAGAGGGTGGAAGACCCAAGCCTTGGCAGCTTCCCCGTGGTATTGAGCCTGCAGATGCAAAGAAGTCAAGAATTGAGGTTTGGGAACCTCTGCCTAGATTTCAGAAGATATGTGGAAATGCCTGAATGTCCAGGCAAAGTCTGCAGTAAGGGTGAGGCCCTCATGGAGAATCTCTGCTAGGGCAATGCAGAAGGGCAATGTGGGGTCAGAGCACCCACACAGAGTCCCTACTGGGGCACTGCCTGGTGGAGCTGTGAGAAGAGGGCCACCATCTTCCAGACCCCAGAAAGGTAAATCCCAACAGCTTGCACTCTAGGCCTGGAAAAGCAACACTCAACAGCAGCCCATGAAAGCAGCTGGAGGGAGGCTGTACCCTGCAAAGCCACAGGGCCGGAGCAGCCCAAGACCATAGAAACCCACCTCTTGCATTGGCGTGACCTGATGTGAGACCTGGAGTCAAAGGCGATCATTTTGGAGCTTTAAGATTTCACTGCCCTGCTGAACTTCAGACTTTCATGGGCCCGGTAACCCCTTTGTTCTGACCAATTTCTCCCATTTACCCAATACCTGCACCCCCATTGTATCTAAGAAGTAATTAGCTTGCTTTGGATTTTACAGGCTCATGGGCAGAAGGGACTTGCCTTGTCTCAGGTGAAACTTTGGACTGTACACTTTGCGTTAATGCTGAAGTGAGTTAAGACTTTGGGGGGACTGTTGGGAAGGCATGATTGGTTTTGAAATATAAGAACATGAAATTTGGAGGGGCCGGAGTAGAATTATACGGTTTGGCTGTGTCCTCACTGAAATGTCAACTTGAAGTGTATCTCCCAGAATTCCCACGTGTTGCAGGAGGGACCCAGTGGGAGGTAACTGAATCATGGGGTCAGCCTTCCTCATGCTATTCTGGTGATAGTGAAAAGTTTCACAAGACCTGATGGGTTTTCTGGGGTTTCCACTGTTGCTTTCTCCTCACTCTCTCTTGCTGCTGCCATATAAGAAGTACCTTTTGGCTGGGCGTGGTGGCAGATGCCTGAAGTCCCAGCTACTTGGGAGGCTGGGGCAGGAGAATTGCTTGAACCAGGGAGGCAGAGGTTATAGTGAGCCTAGATTGCGACTTTGCACTCCAGCACTCTAGCCTGGGCTACAGAGCAAGCCTCCGTCTCAAAAACAAAAAAAAGAAAGTACCTTTCGCCCTCTGCCATGATTATGAGATTGTGAGACTTACCCAGCCATGTGGAACTGTTAATCAAATTAAACCTCCTGGCAGGGGGCCATGGCTCACACCTGTAATCCCAACACTCTGGGAGGCCTAGGTGAGTGAATCACCTGTGGTCAGGGTTTCCAGATCAGCCTGGCCAACACGGTGAAACCCCGTCGCTACTAAAAGCACAAAAATTAGCCAGGGCTGGTGGTGCATACCTGAAATCTCAGCTACTCAGGAGGCGAAGGCAGGAGAATCGTTTGAACCTGGTAGGTGAAGGTTGCAGAGAGCTGAGATCGCACCACTGCACTCCAGCCTGGGAAACAAGAGCGAGACTGTTTAAAAAAAAAAAAAAAAAAAAAATGCAACCTCCTTTTCTTCCCAGTCTCAGATATGTCTTTATCAGCAGTATAAAAACGACTAATAGCGTAATGCAGAGAGACATAAATAAAGACCCAGAAAGTGTGGGAGAGACAAAAGGAGAGACAGAGAGAATAAGGAGGGACGGAGAAGAGAAGAGAGGGCCTTCTCCCACTATCCTTCCAAAATCAGGGTTTCCTCGTGGGCCCTTCCTTCCTCAAGGCCTAGGTGGCAAAGAGGTCACTGAAGGAAGCGAAGTCTCCTCTTCCTCAGCGGTTCTGAAGGCACCTGAGCTATGCCCGCTGGTCTTCCTAAGCCAGAAGCTATGACCTCGAGTCCTCCTTAGGCTTCCCAGCCCAGCTTCCTCCTTTCCAAATGAGAGGACAAACAGGAGGCAGAGGGCCTGAGACCTCCTGCCCCAGCAACAGACTCCCCAAGAAGGCACAGGCGGACCGGTGCCAACTGTTTAAATCCAGCGCCCACGTTCGGTTGGGACATTCTGACACACTCAGGGCTGCCCCATAAATAGCGCGTGTCCGGATCCAAGCGCACAGAGAACTCGAAACCTCTATGTCAAGCTGCCCATTCGGGGTTAAGTTCAAAGGCAGAGGACAAAGGAAACGGAGAAAGTCTCCAATATAAGAATTACCCACTTCAGACGCACGAGACCAAAAGCACACGTAGTGTCAGGAAATGTTAGGATCCGTCCTCAACGCCACCGTCCAAGTCCCCACAGAGCCAGGGACATGTGTCCCCGGAGCCCAGCTGTTCCCGCAGCCCCTGGAGAAATGTGTACGTTCCCCACCGAGGACCCTGCCGCTGGGCACAAGGGGAGGCTGGCCTGGGGGAGGCCCGCTGGGGCCTTCAGACCCCGCCCGTGTCCTTGGGGCCGCTGCCTGGGAGGGCGAACGAGGTCCCCCAGGCGAGGTGACCCGCAGGAAGTTTTGAGACGTTGGGCGGCCCAGGCCCGGGGGTGCTGTGTGTGCTGGGGGTGGAGGGTGGCCTCCGAGAGGAGCCGTCGGCATTCCAGGGAAGGCACCGGCCGGTCGGGAGGACCGGTCGGAGGTGGGGGGTGTGCGCCACTTCTCCGAGCACCCGCCGGGGAGACCCAGAGCGCAGGGGCAGCCTCGAACGGGGACCCCGAGCCCGAGCGGCGGGGCAGGGCCGTCCCCATGAGGCCGGCACCCGGCGCCCTTTGTCCTACGACAGCGTCCCGGCGGCGCTGCGCGTACGCCCTCACCCACGGTGGCCAGCGTGTCGAAGTCCTGCAGCCGGTAGGCGGGCGGCTCCGGTGACCGCGCCTCGGGGCTGGGGAAAAGCGCGGGCGATCCGACGGAGGTCTCCTCCGCCACCTCTTGGGAGTCGCTCTCCTCCGCGGCCGCCTGGGCCGGTCCGGGCGCCTCCAACAGGACGCACTCAGGTCCCGGGCGCCGGGCCAGAGCGCTCGGGGAGCCGGGCTTCCCGGGACGCAGCCTCGGAGGGCGGCGCGGCGGCAGCGGGGCGGCATCAACGGAGGCTCCCCATGCATGCGCTCGCCTCCAGGTGCGCGGCCCGGTGGGCGCTCACGGCCAGAGCAGCAGCATCCCCACGTGGGAGCAGCCGCCTGCCTCGGAGGCGGCGGGGAAGGAGGGGGCCGCGGCGAGACCCGGGCCCGTCGCCTCCTTAGGCTCAGCTGCCGCGAGGGCGCTGATGGGGCAGGCGGAGGGGATGGGGGCGTCGCCTTCGCACGCGCTCCGCCCCCGCCGCGACCCCGCCCAGGAGCCGGAGACCCAGGCGGGCTGGCCATCCAGGGCGGGCGCAGGCACTGGGGAGGTGCCCAAGTCCCCTCCGCGCCCGGGGCGCCCCTCGAGTGGGACCCAGGCCAACCTTTCTCTGCGACCGTCTCGACCCTCTTAGTCCGGCGCAGAGGCGTAGAGGTCCAGACCCAGCTACTCAGGAGGGAGGAAACGTTTTACTACCTATTCTCTCTTGTGTTTGAAGCCTGCTAGCTAAAAGCTTCATCTGCATAGTGAAACTTCGGTCTCCACCACCTCTTATCACAACCCACACATTCCTTTCTGTTGATCCCAGGTCTTTAGATAAACTCAACCAATTGTCAACCAGAAAGTGTTTAAATTTACCTATCAGGGCTGGGCGCAGTGGCTCACGCCTGTAATCCCAGCACTTTGGGAGACCGAGGCGGGTGGATCACGAGGTCAAGAGATCGAGACCATCCTGGTCAACATGGTGAAACTCCGTCTCTACTAAAAATACAAAAAATTAGCTGGGCATGGTGGCGCGTGCCTGTAATCCCAGCTACTTGGGAGGCTGAGGCAGGAGAATTGCCTGAGCCCAGGAGGAGGAGGTTGCGGTGAGCCGAGATCGCGCCATGGCACTCCAGCCTGGGTAACGAGCGAATCTCCGTCTCAAAAAAAAAAAAAAAAAAAAGAAAATTTACCTATAGCCTTGACCCTCCCCCCACACACACACCCCGCCACTTCAACTTGTCTCCTTTCTGGACCAAACCAATGTATTTCTCAAAGGTATTTGATTGATGTCTCATGCCTTCCTAAAATGTATAAAACCAAGCTGCACCCTGTCCACCTTGGGCACATGTTCTTAGGACCTCCTCAGGGCTGCGACATGGGCCATGGTCACTTGTATTTGGCTCAGAATAAATCTCTTCAAATATTTTACAGAGTTGAACTCTTTGTTGACACTTTTTTTCTTAAACAGTTACTGCAACCTGTTCTTCAGAAAGAGGATGGTGCAAACCGAGAACAAGTAAGATGTGGATGCAGAAAGTTAGGAGATCCAGTAGAAGAGAGAAGTGCAGTTGGTGGCCAGGGTGAGAGCCATTCACCCGGTTCTGTAAGTGAACCGTCACGTTGGAGATGGGGGTCAAGAGATGCTAGATGGCGCCATCCAGGAAGAAAGAGCAAGAATGAATGGACAAAATTTGGGAGTTAGAAAAACTGATTAGTTGAGGGCACATGGTAGGCCTTTTGAAGCATTAGGATAAAATAGTTTCAGGCACTAAGTAAATTGTTTATACAAGGAAGTCAGCCCAGTGCAGTGGCTCATGCCTGTAATCTCAGCAACTCCAGAGGCTGAGTTGGGAGGATCCTTTGAGCCCAGGAGTTTGAGGCTGCAGTGAGCTGTGATTGTAACACTGCACTCCAGCCTTGTAGCTTGCGTGACAGTGAGATCCCATCAAAAAAAAAAAAAAAAAAAAAAAGATGTAATTACTAACTCCAGGAAAAAGAAAAGAAAGAAGACATAATCATTTTAGTCACTGGTTCATCTTTGAGTATCAACGCAATGGTAATGGAAACACTGATGATTTCTTAAACCAAATATTGTGTCCTAAATATTTAAAGACTGTGGTAGGAGGGAAAGGACATTTGTGATTGGATGGAAAGGCAGGCAGGAGAGTGTCACAGCCTGAGGGGTTCTTCTTTCCTGCTGCCCCACAAAAGTCCAGTACACTGAGAACAGCAGATGTTTGCAGCAAAGAAGGCGGTTAATAATTTCAGGGACAGCTAAGTGAGGAGAACAGGAGACACTTCTCAAATCTGTCTCTCTGAAAAGGTGGAAACTCTGGTTTTTGAAGATACTTTTGTGGGCAGAAGGCTGGGGAACTGCAGCAGCTGACTGTCTGGGGATGAAGTTGTAGGGGGTGTAAAACTGTCTTTGTGCATGTGAGTTAGTTCCCAGGAGAGGGTATCTCAGGAACAGGTGGCATCTCTTGGTCTGCCAACATGCTAAATCTGAAAAATATTTCAAAGACCATTCTTTAGGTTTTACAATAGTAATGTTAGCTACAGGAGTAGTTTGGGAAGTTATATGTCTTGTGATCCCTGGTTACATGACTCTGGTGCAGTGAACAACTTACAGGAAAACACGCTAAGTGATGGTAGCCTATTGATGAACTATGCCTATTCTTTAGCAAGTTCAAGCCCCTACAGTAATTCTAACCTTGTTTTCTGAATGTGGCTTGAATCTACAGTCAAGGAGTGGGGTCAATTTCCTTGCCTCAAGGTTTAACTCTCTGTCTCTCTCTCTGAGTGTGTATATATACATATATATGTGTGTGTGTGTGTATATATATACACTCAGAGAGTTATATATATATGTATATATACACTTAGAGAGATAGTATATATATATATATATACACATATATATGTGTATACACACACACACACACACACACAATTATTTATTATTATTTTTTGAGACACAGTCTTGCTCTGTTGCCCAGGTTGGAGTGCAGTGGTGTGATCTTGGCTCACTGCAGCCTCAATTTCCTGTGCTCAAGTGATCCTTTCACCTCAGCCTCCTGAGTAGCTGGAACTACAGGTACGCACCACCATGCCTGGCTACTTTTTGTAAGTTTTTTGTTGAGAAGGAGTTTCACTATGTTCCTGAGGCTGGTCTCCAACTCCTGGGCTCAAGCAATCCTCCTGCTTCAGTCTCCCAAGGTGCTGGGTGGCACCATACCTGGCCTCAAAGTTGAACTACCAACTAAGTTCCTCACACAGTTATCTCAGCTGCCACGCTAGAATAAGCAAAAACAAAACAAAACAGTTTAGCCTGTGGGATCTGAAGGAAAATGGAGTCAGTCACAGTAGATTTCTCATATTTGTTTTTTTCTTTTCTTTTTTTGAGATGGAGTTTCACTCTTGTTACCCAGGCTGGAGTGCAATGGCGCTATCTTGGCTCACTACTGCCTCTGCCTCTCAGGTTCAAGTGTTTCTCCTGTCTCAGCCTCCAAAGTAGCTGGGATTACAGGCACCCGCCACCATGCCTGGCTATTTTTTTTTTTTTTTGGTAGATACGGGGTTGCACCATGTTGGCCAGGCTGGTTTTGAACTTCTGACCGCAAGTGATCCACCCGCCTCAGCTGGATTACAGGCATGAGCCACTGCAACCGGCCAAGATTTCTCACATTTCTTATAACTCTGCAATCACAGTTTCAAGACCAAGTCCTCAATAACCATAAGGTGTAAAATCGACAAATCTTGAAACTGTAGTATAAGAATATTATATATGAACATGGTTATAAATATGAAAACAAATATTGAAAGGATTGGATTTGAATAGAGGCTGGGTGTGGGGCATATTGATACAAGAAGTTTTTTTTTAAGTACAAACTTTTTCATATTTCCTTGATAATAATCTGCTTACATTTTAAGAACATTTGGAAAAGAAGATGTCACAGATATTCCCTTCCAGGTAGACATGTCTTTCCTTCTTTGGTTTTACTCCTCTTCCCTGGAGAGATCATGGCTGAGCTTGGCACCATATGTATACTCATGGGGCACTGATGGCAGTGGACATTTGAGCGAGGCAGTTTTTGTTTTTTACCTTTGGAGGGTGATTGTAAAGATGAAATGAAATAACCCACATGGCAATGCCCATAATTTACAAGGCACATAAACAGGGTGTCAAGAAATATTAGGTCAGTGGAGATTCTACATTCATTCGTCTTTTCCCTGAGAATGATAAAGAGGGCTGTTTAGTACTGAAATCAGAAAGGGTCAGAACACAGCTATATCTACCCATTCTCAGGCCTTTTTCTGTTCTGGAACAGAAGCGGATGCCGAAATGCAAGTGCTAAAAACTGCGTGGTAACATAAATACTCCATGCACTTGGAATGGCCAGATTTAGCAAATCAAAATGATAATGCATTTAAG